TTGGCTGTGAGCAGGAGCGATTCAGTCCAATAGCTTGAGGCAGAGATGGGGAACATGTAGCCTTGAGGCTGCAGGTTCCCCACTCCTGGCGCTTGAGAGGATGGTCAAGGATGGGGGAGATGGGAGAGTGTTTATAAGCAGCAGGGAAGGAACCAGTGGATAAAAAGAGGTTGAAAATTAGGAAGAGAATGAGAATGATCAAAGGGGTAAGCTCCTAGGGGAGAGAGGGATGGAGGGTACAGGTAAAGGGCTTGGCCTTGGCCAGAAACTGAGAAGCACCTCCTTGAGCTTAGAGCAAAAGGGATTGAGGTGGAGGGGACTGGAGCTAAAGAACTGGCGAGAAGAGGGAACATGATAGATGGCCTTGACATTTAGATTTTTTGGCCCCTAAATGTGATGCTTGGGCTGACAGGCAGGCAGTGGAAAATGCCACACACAACTTGTTTCTTTTTGGTCCCTAAGTCCCTATCTTTAACTTGTAAAGGCTAAGCTGGGCATTTCCTGGTCTAGGTGACCCACTGAGGGAGCTGGGCAGTGAATGTGGGATTGAATTTGACGAGGAGAAAACAGCTGTCATTGACCATCACAACTATGACATCTCTGACCCTGGAGAGGTAAGGACCCAGTCTCCGTGATGCAGGCAGAGAAGGGAAGGGCCGTGGTGGGAGAGCAGCACTGTGTGGGAGGCACCTTCTCTTTATCATCTCTGCCTTTCCCTCCGTTCCTCACAGCACACACTCATCGTGGCAGACACTGAAAACCTCCTCAAGGCCCCGACCATTGTAGGAAGAACATCCCTCAATCCCATCTTGTTTCGGGGTGTTGGGTAAGTGATCCAGCAAAGGCCGGCAGAGACCTCCATGAAGTGGGAGGCGGGGTGTCACTTTTTCCTTCCCATAGAAAATGGTAGAAATTTTCCCTGGGTACAAAACAAAACTCAGCGTTCTTTGGCTATTAGTTTGCCCCTGTGAGCATAACAGTGTTATTCTGTTCTTTGTCATTGGGAGTCAGACTTCATTTTCTCAGGATAGAAAGTGTCAGTTTGTTTGGTTATTTTAAAATGGGACTCACCCCTGGGGAAAATAGCCACTAGGGTACTCCAGGTGCCACCTGCTTGGCTCAGCATTGGGGCACGTCTGTATGGTAAGTCCTGTGTATGCACTGGCTTCCTTTCTTTCTCCTGTAGGATGGTTGCTGATCCCGATAATCCTCTGGTACTGGATATTCTAACAGGCTCCTCTACTTCATATTCCTTTTTCCCAGACAAACCCATCACACAGGTGAGTGCCCACTGGAGCACCTATGATACCAGCCCTGTCGTTAGGAGGCTTCAAGTAACCCAGCCCTTGGGCATCTGGCGACAGGTGACACATGTCTTTCTTGTACTGACTCTAGGGGCAGAATTTGGATGAGCAAATCAGACCTTGGGATGGTGGACTTTGAAAGCTGGGGTGCTGGGTAGGAAGTGGAAGGACATTTAAGAAAGCTAGGGTCAACTACGATTTCAGGGTTTGGGCCAGGGCCCAAGCCGACAAGAAGCTGACTTAATCTTGTTTTGTTGTTAGTATCCCCATGCAGTGGGGAAGAACACCCTCCTGATTGCAGGCCTCCAGGCCCGGAATAACGCCCGAGTCATCTTCAGCGGCTCCTTGGACTTCTTCAGTGATGCCTTCTTTAACTCGGCTGTGCAGAAGGCCAGCCCTGGCTCACAGAGGTATGGCCCACAGGGTCTGGTGAGAGAGCTAGGAGTGTCCACAGGCAGGGCTAGCTTAGCTCTTCCTAGATGTACACAGCACATCATCCTCTGGAGTCATTTAAAGCATTTTCCTACGTGTGATGTAGAGCCAGGAATATTAGAAGCTTACTTCTAGTTTTTAAAGATGTCTGTAGGAGAGAAGTAGATGGTAACCTCCCTGGGGGCTCTCTTTCCTCTTCTTGGCTCTTCAGTGAAACCTTTGGGGTTCTTCTAAGTGATTCCAGGTTGTCACTTGGCCCTCATGACTAAATCGTTCCACCTTTGCGTCTCAGCCTCCTCCTTCGTAAAGAGAGGGTTATCTGATCCTTTCCAGCTTGGAGTCCTTTGATCCCAGCGTGGCGCAGTGTGCCTTTCCCTTCAGGCCAGCACAAGGATGTTGCTGTCAGCTGGAGTGTGTCGCTTCCCCTTTCTTTCTAGCCTGGGGCCTCAGGGCTGCTTAGCCATCGCGGTTCCCATCTTTTTTTGTCTGTCTTGTACAGGTACTCCCAAACAGGCAACTACGAGTTGGCGGTTGCTTTGTCTCGATGGGTGTTCAAGGAGGAGGGTGTGCTTCGGGTAGGGGCTGTATCTCATCATCGAGTTGGAGAGAAGGCCCCACCCAGTGCTTACACTGTCACAGACCTCGTGGTAAGGACCTGTGGGGGCAAGGAGGCTATGGAGTGTATGTTTTGCTTGAGAAGGGTTCAATGCAAAACTTGGTGATGAGGAATTAAGAGGACATGTCTGTGTACCCCAGAGATACCGTTTGTGGGTGAGGGGCAGTAGCTGACTTTTATCTGGTTGTGATTATTTCTAGGCCTTTTCAGTGGTCTTGTGTGTGTGTGTATGTGTGTGTGTGTGTGTGTGTTGGGGGGGGCGGGGGTCAGATCAGCGACCATGGCCTTTGTCGTGCCCTGCTTAACCCCACCTTGTGCCTTAGGAGTATAGCATTGTGATCGAGAAGCTCTCCGAAGGCAAGTGGGTCCCCTTTGATGGAGATGACATTCAGCTAGAGTTTGTTCGGATTGATCCTTTTGTGAGGACTTTCTTGAAGAGGAAGGGTAAGTCTCAGTCTGGAGGCCAGGCAGCCTCCCTCTCCCCACCAGGCAGGGTGGTCCTAGACTGGCTTTATTAGCTGTACAGTTATTGGTAGCTCCCACTTTTCCTCACAGTGGTATTTAGCCACAGCCCCTTTGACTCCCTATCTGGATCCCAACATGCTGAAATAGGGTGGGGAGGAACATGCAGGCAACAGTGCAAGCACCTGCCTCCAGTGGGTAATCACAGTGTCCTAAAAAAGTGGGTTAGACGTAGGAGGGATGAGATCTTGAGTTCAAATTCTGACTCTTGACACAGCCTGCCTGGCTGGGCTACCTTGCTTTTGGGGTTAAGACAGGACACCCTTTGAATTCTATTCTGATGTGGTTGGGGCTTTTCTAGGTGGCAAGTACAGCGTCCAGTTCAAGTTGCCAGATGTCTATGGGGTCTTCCAGTTCAAAGTGGATTACAATCGGTTGGGCTACACTCACTTGTACTCCTCTACTCAGGTAAGCAGCTGATGGCTCCGGATGGGCAAAACCATGTGCTCAGGTGCCCAGCCAAGCGATCATTCTAGACCAGTCTGCTCCCTCTTTTGTCTTTCTCACAGGTGTCTGTGCGGCCCCTTCAGCACACACAGTACGAGCGATTCATCCCCTCGGCCTTCCCTTACTACGCAAGTGCTTTCTCTATGATGGCTGGACTCTTTCTCTTCAGCGCCGTCTTTTTGCACATGAAAGAGAAAGAAAAATCTGATTGAAGAGGCAGAGCCCTTGGACCCTCACGGGCTGTTGGCTTGGCAAGTGTGGGTGGCCTGGACCAGCCTGACCTCTCTGAGAGACAATTGGGTTACCAGGGGTGGGGCATCATTTCTCTTCCAGCATCTCTGCCCTGGGGTCTTCTGTGGCTGAAGCCACCCATTCCCACTTGTGAAATAAAAATAGGTGTTCCCCTAACTGGTTCCTGATCCATGTAAAACACAAGCCACACAGAGTCACATTCTACCTGTACTCAAAACATCTTTTGTCCATTGGCTCTCTGTATCAGATCACTAAAAACCATATTAGGGCAATGACTCCTTAAGCCATTGCTAGTGTGTTTTTATGAACTATTTTGCATTTAAATGATACCAAACAGTATCTGTGACAACTGATATATATATATGTATAAACATATACATATATCTGTCTCTATCTAAAAATTGGCTCTCGCCTCTGGATATTAGAACTGTTCTTGCCCCCATTTTATAGATGAGATTCAGAGGTCTGTGAAGCTTGCAGTTGTCACAACCAAGCCTTGGACCCAGGTTTCCTTATAGCCGAAAGTTTAGGGTAACTGGGCCTGAGCTTTTTTTTTTTTTTAAACTATATGAGATGTTTGTGAAGAGGTATTATTTTTGTCCCCAAACATAAAACCACACAAAGTCCCTATTATTCATTTCAAGGCATACTGTACCTTTGTAAACATGCATTTAATTCTTGAAAGTAGCTCCTGCAAGAGACCTTAGTCAGAAGGATGCTCCACAGCACACTTACTTCTGTTTCTTGAGATGCTGGATATGTTAAATAGAAGGCTTCACAGAAAGCTGCTACAAGAGCCAGGTTTTTGGTTTTTCCTCCCAGAAATGCACCAGGACCATGCTGCATGCTTACCAATTAGGTAGCAGAACCCCCACTTCTCAGCACAAGATACTCTAATTTTACAACCAGAGAGTTCTAACTTGGACCTTCTCCATCACTTTGACTTGGCCAGCCTCTGCCTCTTCCCTTTCCCCCTGGTGCAAAAAGAGTGTTTTTGTCTTAAGTTTCTTGTGAAATAAAAGAATTTCATTTTTTGGAAATCAGGATTGGATTCTTTAGTTTGCCTGCTTCTACTAAATAACTGGGCAAACAAGGAATCAATTTTTTTCCATGACCTCTTAGTCTGATCCTTCTCATTTTATAGACCAGGAGCTGAAACTGGCAAGTTAAATGACCTGCCCATTGCTGCATAACTAGAGTTAATAGCTACAATCTGATCATGAAGGGACTCCTTTCACAATCCTTCCAACAGCTACCCATTCCAAGGCTTTTGTGTCTCCCCTGCTCTGGCTCAGGGCTCAAAGACTGGGAGTCCACACATCGTTCCCCCCGACTCCATCTGTTATTTTCCTGCCCTATCCACACACAAACCACCTGCACCTGCAAAGCCACTGGGTTCCCTTGAGATACTGTCAAGACACAAAGAATGCTGCTAAGTGCTTTTAGTAAACTTGGGTGACATGGGAGCATCAAGGGGCTGCCCTCCAGGAACAGAGAAGGAATGCAGCCTGACAGAGGGCTTCGTACTCCAGGTTAGCCAAGAAGCACATCTTCATTTTGGTTTCTACGCTGTTCCCCTCTATCAACCGATCAGTCAGCAGAGTGGCAGCTGATTGGTGAAGGAGCCAGCCAATCATCTTGTCTGATTTCAGACTCTTCATGGCTAAAATGCTTTCACCCCAGAGGCTCAAGTGAAGCACATTTGCTGCTACTCGGGCAGATGGTCTCTGAAAGAGAAGAAAGGTGGAATGAGCCACAGTACAATTAGCCCACAACCCACCTTACCTTAAGAGGTAGGTGGATTGGCTGTTGTTTCTCGTAAAGAAGAGGAAACATTTCAGAAGCTAAAAGTTCTCGTATACATTTTCCCTGTTGTATTAGTTGACTGATAATTAGTTCTTTTGCCTTTAGCACAAATTCAGAATGTCTCCCTTTCCTCCTAGGAAGCCTCTTGGCCAGTCTATACCTGCTCAAATCTCTGCTCTGCTCTACTCTCGATGCACACTAAAAATTCAGCTTTCTCTTCTGAATGACTTCTATTTTTTTCTTTATTTTAATATTAAATAGTAGGAAATTTTAGTATTAAAATTTTTCTTTGAGTTCCAGATTCCCTCCCTACAGCTCCTCCCTCACTCATTGAGAAGGCAAGCAGTATATCAATTATACATATGCAATCATGTAAAACGTGTCCATATTAGCCATGTTCCAAAAAAAGTGAAAAAATACTTTGATTTGCACTCAAGAGTTCATCAATTCTCTGGAGGCAGATAGCATTTATCATGCATCTTTTGGAGTTGTCTTGGCTCACTGTATTGATCAGAGAAGCTGAGTCTTTCACAGTTGGTCATCATTACAATATGGCAGTTACCGTGCACAAGGATGTGGTCCTGCTCACTTCACTCTACGTCAGTTCACATAAGTCCAGGTTTTTCTGAAACCATCCCCCTCATTTCTTATAGCACAATACTAGTCCATCACAACCATATACCAGAACTTGCTCAGCCATTCCCTGATTAATGGGCGTCCTTCAATTTCCAATTCTCTGCCACCACAAAAAGCACTGCTGTAAGTATTTTTTGTGCAAATAGGTCTTTTTCCTTTTTCTTTGATCTCTCTTTTGATACAAACCTAGCTGTGGTACTGTTGGGTCAAGGGGGACGCACAGTCTGGTTGCCCTTTGGATACAGTTCCAGATAGTTTTCTCTAGAATGGCTGAACTAGTTCACAACTCCACCAATAGTACATTAGTGTCTATTTTTCCATATTCTCCAGCAGTTCTCATTATCCTTTTCTATCATGTTCCTCAATTTGATGGATGTGAAGTGGTTCCTCAGAGTTGTTTTAATTTGCATTTCCCTATTAGTGATTTACATAATTTTTTCATATGACTATTGATACCTTTTATTCTGAAAACTGCCTGTTTATATCCTATGACCATTATCAACTGAGGAACGATTCTCATTTTTATAAATTTGACTCAGTTCCCTACATATTTGAGAAATGAAGCATTTATCAAAGAAACTTGCTGTAAAAATTTTGTTATTACTTCATTGTCTATGGTGCCTTTTAGCAAAATGTAGTTTCCCTGATTATCTTTTCTAATCAGATCTATTTTTGCTTTGGCTTTGTCTGAGATAATATGATTGATGCCCCTACCTTTATTTTGGAGGAGGTATAATGGCTTATTCCAGCCCCTTGTGTGTGTGTTTCTGTTTCAAGTATCTCTTTTGTAAACAACATATTGTTGGATTCTGGTTTCTAATTCATCCTGCTATCTGCTCCTGTTTTACGGGTGAATTCATTCCATTCACAGGTATGATTACATCCCATTTAGTGTTTGTCTTCTCTCTCTTTTTACCCTGTTCCTCCTCAAGTCTGTTTTGCTCCTGACCACTGCTTCCCTTGATCCACCCTCTCTTTTACCACTCTTCCCCCTTCCTCTTATCACTGGGTTAAGACAGATATACCCACTGAGTCTGGATGTAACTGGTTCTCTCTGACCCAGTTCTGATAAGACTGAGGTTCAAGTGTTGTGAGCCACCCCCAACCCCCACCAATTGCCCTCTCTGCTGTAAAAGCTTTCCCTTGCATGCCTCTTACTGTGAGGTAGTTTTCCCCATCCTGCCTCTCCCTTCCCCCTTATCCTGGTTCATCCCTCTTTCTTACCCCTTTGTTCCCCTCCTTCCCCCAGATCACTGCAACCCAATCAGCTCCCACTTGTGCCCTCAGACTGTGTAGACTCCTTCTAGCTGCCCTAATAATGATAACGTTTTTAGGGTTACAAGCGTCATTTTCCCATGTAGGAATTCCTAGGTGGGAATATAAATAATTTAACCTTATTGAGTCCTTTATGATTTTCATATTTGCCTTTTTATGCTTCTCTTGAGTCTTGTGTTTGAAAGTCAAGTTTTCTATTCAGCTCTGGTCTTTTCATTAGGAATGCTGGAAAGTCCTCTACTTCATTAAATAGCCATTTCTTTCCCCTGAAAACTTACACTCAGTCTCGCTAGGTGGATTGTTCTTGGTTGTAATTCTAGCTCCTCTGTCTTTCAGAGTATCATATTCCAAGCTCTCTATCCTTTTAACTTGGAAGCTGCTAAACCTTGTATGATCCTTACTGTGGCTCCATAATATCTGAGCTGTTTCTTTCTGGCTGCTTATAATATTTTCTCTTTGATCTAGGAGTTCTGGAATTTGACTATAATATTCCCGGGAGTTTTCATTTTGGGATCTCTTTCAGGAGGTGACTGGTAGATTCTTTCGATTTCCTATTTTACCTTCTGGTTCTAAGATATCAGGGCAGTTTTCCTTGATAATTTCTTGAAATATGATGTCTAGGCTCTTTTTTTGATCATGACTTTCAGGTAGTCCAGTGATTCTTAAATTATCCCTGTTTGGTCTATTTTCCAGGTCATTTGTTATTCCAATAAGACAGTTCACGTTTTCTTCTATTTTTTTCATACTTCTGACTTTGTCTTATTGTTTCTTAGTGTCTCATAGAGTTATTAGTTTCCACTTACCCAATTCTAATTTTTAAGGATTATTTTCTTCAGTGAGCTTTTGTACCTCCATTTCCATTTGGCCAGGTCTGCTTTTTAAGTTCTTTTCTTCAGTGAATTTTTTGGGCCTCTTTTACCATTTGGCCTATTCTGTTTTTTAAGGTGTTATTTTCTTTAGTACTTTTTTTGTGCCTCTTTTACCAAGTTGTTGACTCTTTTCATTATTTTCCTGTATCCCTCTAATTTCTTTTCCCAATTTTTCCTTTATCTCTCTTATTAGATTTTAAAAATCCTTTTTGAGCTGTTGTAGGAATTTTTTTGGGGGGGGCTGAAACCAATTCACATTTTTCTTTGAGGCTTTAGATATAACTGCTTTTGACTTTGTCATCTTCTGAGTTTTTTTTAAAGCCAATACTTTATATCATTTTTGCTCTTGAGGAGCTCATACTTTATTTTTTTTAATTTAAAAAAATTTTCTTCTTTTAATTTAGTATTCTATTTTTCCACAGTTAAATGTAAAAACAATTTTTAATATTTGTTTTTAAAACTTTTGAGTTCCAAATTCTCTCCCTTCCTCCCTCCCCACCCCCCCTCATTGAGAAGGCAAGAAATTTGATATAGGTTATACATGTGTAGTCTTGCAAAACATATCCGTAATAGTCATGTTGTGAAAGAAAACACACACAAAAAATGAGTTTGTGTTTTGACCTTCCCTGTCACCATGGTAACTTTCTATGGTCGTGTTCTTTTTGTTGTTGTTTTCTCATTTTTCTAGTCTATTTCTTGACTTTGAATTTTATGTTAAAGTTGGGCTCTGCCCACCTTGGGGGGAGGAAGGGAGGCACTGTTCCAAGCTTCAGGCTTTTTCCTGCTGCTGTTTTCAGTTAGTTCTGGGGAGTCTGCAAATTTTCAGTGCTTCCAAGGAGGTACGATCTAGGGAGAGGTGTGGGCTACTGCTGTCATGGTCTGTGTTCTGGCCTTTAGTCAGGAAGGGCCCCAGCTTCCCTGCAGCTGCAAATGCTGGTGCTCTTGCTGCCATGGAACTAACTGAGACCCGGAACTGGGTATAGATGATAGAGTTGCCAAATAGCATGTGGTCCAGCATCCAGTGTCAGCTCAGGGTACCCTCTACTCTCTTTCTGGACATCTTTCTAGCTGTCTAATCATCCCCTGACCATCTCTGGGTGGTAGGCTCCCAAAGCTGATGCTGCCATGCCACAGCCCACCTCCAAGACCCAATGCTGGTACTGCCACTGTGTGCACTCCTGCGGACTACTGGAGAGATATCTCATCCTGCCCTTTTCTTGGCTCTCCTGCTCCTGAATTTGATTTGAGGAATTATTATAAAGTTGGAGGGGAATATTGAGAGAGTCTGGCTGGACTGCTGCCTCTACTCTACCATCTTGTCTCTGCCCTCTCTTCTAAATGCCTTCTAACAACTTATATATTCCCCCAGAGAGAGGAAAGTGAACCAAAATTCCTAGAATTCTGACCAATCATCTGCCTCGGTGACCTCCTGCTTGACGGAAAAACTAAAGACATTTTAAGCTTGTGAGGATTAGCCTTCAGCTAACTCTCTCACTGTGGTACCTACCAGTTTCTTAGTTAATGCTCCTCACAACCTGGCAGGCCCTGCAGATGAACTGAGTTTTCAGGCCTTAAGACCAGTGTCCCAGGTAACAAACTAAAGGTGACACCAGTGGAGTTGGCGTCAGTCCTCACCTTGCTGGCATCTCGCTGGAGCAGCGCCTTTACCAGCTGCCTCGCGTCCACGGGCATGTTCTCTGGCAGTGAAGGAAGCTGAGACTCACGGTAACTGCGGCTTTCCAGCTGGGTCCTGCCATGTCCATAGAAGGGATTGGGGAGTCCAAAGATCTCATAGGCAATTGCTCCCACTGCCCAGGCATCAGCTTTGCTGTAGTCAATCACCACTCCAGGACCAGGACAGGCTGTTGACACCTGCATGGGCAACAAGAAAGAGGTGGAACACCTACCACCTTGTGCTGCTGGTGTTTCGATAAAGACTGTGTGGGTCGTGTGGTCCACTGACATAATCAAAATCACACTGAATGGGCATCTGCTGGCCCTGGCATGACTAGACTTGCTCCTTAGAGAATCCTGTACGTCCTTTTTAAGCTCAGACAGAACTTACAAAAGGTTAAATGTCTCATAATAAGGGATAGAAAAGGTCTTTGTTGGGTGTATGGGCCAGAAAACATAATCCATATTCATATAGCACTTGTGTCTGAGCCTGGATTTGAACCTAGCTCCTTCTCCAAATGCAGTGCTCTTTTTATCCACCACACACATGCAAAGATCAAGGGGTCCTAGAGGACGATGGAGTGTCAGGTCTTGGATCCACTGTGTGATGGGGGAAGAAACCCAACCATCGGATCCAGGGAGGGGTTCCTGCCTAATGACAAACACACAGCAAGAGTTACCTCAGGAGCCATCAAGCAGCTATTTCCTCCCCGGTCCACGTACCAGCTGGTGAAAGGCAATTGTAGGCCAATGCTCTCATCAGCCAGACAGCAACCGAAATCTGTTATTACCAGCCAGGGGCAGCCAGCTGGTAAGGCAACAGGTAGGGGCCAATGAACAGTCAGTGGAGAGGACCCCCTCCCTCCCTTCTCCGATCCCCACTGACTTCAGGTCTAAAGCCACAGGTCCCTGACTGGCTGAGGGGGTCACCTGGTCCAACCCCTCTCATTTTACAGATGAAAAAGCTGAGGCCCAGTGAGGGGACGAGGCTCCTTCCATGTCACAGGGCAAGTTAGGACCAGACCAGAACCCACGTTGCCAGCTTCTAGTCCAGGGCATTTTCCAAAACCTGCTGTGCCTCTCACTCTTCCCATAGCAGCAGAAGACGGGTGAGAGGGAACAGGAATCTGGGCAGTGCGGACAGGGTCTGTTTGGGAAAACGGCTGATGTGGTGCTTAAAAAGTCTGAGAGATGTAATTTCAGGATAATTTAATCATTTTATTAATAATGCCAGCATTTAAGGATGGTCATTTGGCCATCTCTCTCTTAGACCAAAGACCATTATGACAGTGAGCTTACAGCTTTTATGTCCATTGGTAAATGGGTATTCTGAGGGTAGCAATCAACTCCGATTGGTTAACAATTAATGAGAGGATGAATATTACAATGAGGGGCTGAGAGTGACATCATGTCAAAGAGAGACCACCCCCAGCCTTGGGCAACCTAGTCAAAAAGTTTATCCCCCACCCAAACCTGAGTGGAGCACAATGGCTTCCCCATCTGGGTAGGGTCTGATCAAAATTGCTGAGAAAGTTAGTCCAAACTCATTATCAGTAATGTCCTTCAAGAAACTGAGCTTTTGAAATCAGGACTTTAGAAAAAAGGGGGACATCTGGATCTCCCCAAATCACTGGTTGTTAATAATAATTTACTGGCATACCAGAAGACTGGAGGACCAAGTGTGGTAAAGGATATGCATTGATTTTTAAGAAAACCCAATCTACAAATATCCAAAATTAAGAGACAGACAAAAACAGTGGCCATTTACTATTTATCAATTGCATTAAAAAAAAAAAGGCCATATAAGTATTTATGGATTTAGAGTTGGAAGGCTCCAAAACGCCATCTTACTATGTGAGACAGAAGCAAAGTGATAGGTGGAGCACTACACTGGAAATAAGGAAGACCTGGCTTCAGATCCCACTTCTAACACTTCAGACTAGCTGTATGGCCCCAGGCAAGTCACCCAGCCCCTCTGCGCCTCGATTTCCTCATCTGTAAAATGAGATCGTTAGACTAGGTAGTCTCTAAGATCCCTTCCAGCTTTAAATCCTGTGACTCTCTGACCTTGATTTATGCAACTGACACATTTCCTCATCACAGAGATGAGGAAACTGAGGCTCGGAGAGAACTGACTTCTCCAAGGCCTCACAGGGAACAAAAGCAGAATCCAGAAATCCAGGGCTCTAACAAACTGCATGGCTGCCCATGTTCCAGACCTAACTGGGGCCCAGTCAAAGACAACAGGAAGGAAGCTGGTGATCCAAAGTGTTCTGGGGGTTCCATCCACCCTCCCCCAGTGAGAGGTGACACATTCTGCAGAAGGAGGTGGATTCCACCTCTGCCTCACACCCTGGAAGGGACCAGAGAGAACAGGCAGAAGAGCCTGGGCTGACTTTTCTGGGAGAGGCTCTTCTCAGTGAATACAATGGCTGGCCACCTACCTGAGTCAAACTCCACCAGGATGTTGTCTGACTTTAAGTCCCTGTGTGCGATGCCCTGCTGAACCAGGTGATCCACCCCTTCTAACAGCTGCAGGGTCATCATGGTGGCAAGGCGGGGGCTTGGAGGGTGCAGCTGCAGGTACTGGCGCAGGGTCCAGGGGTAGCTGGGCACAGAGGGAGACAGGTTCACTTGAGTGGCTGATCTCCCGTCTCCAGTACCAAAAAGGACTTCCCTTTGCCTCTGTCTGGGACCTGCCTGTCTTCTCATTTCCACTCTGCATTCTACACTCTCCCCCACTTGTCTGATGTCACATTGTGGCACCAGCCCAATCACCACCTCAGTAGGACAGCCAGCAGGGCTTGGGCCCAGGGAAGGGCGTAACACACATGTCTTAATTAGGGAGCATCTGAATCCAGCATCTCAGAATCCTGAGGTCTGAAAGGGGCCTCAGCAGCCATCCTGCCCAACCAAACCCTCTTGAAATGACTTTCTTTTTCTCCATTTGGACTCTGCATTTAGTCAGCAGGGCACACAGTGTATTCCCCCAATTCTCCCAGTGCAATGTACGCTTGCCAAGGGCAAAGACTACTTTTTGTTTTCCAAGCACCCAGCACAGTGTCCTGCACACTGCAGGTGCCTAATGTTTGTTGAATCAGGTTGACTTAAATGACATAACTCTCATTTTTATAACACTTAAAGGTTTACAAAATGCTTTCTTAAGAACACCTCATGGGGCAGCTGGTGCACTGACTATTGCCCCCACTTTACAAATGTGTTAGTCATTACTCTTTTTTTTTAGGCATTTGGGGTTAAGTGACTTGCCCAGGGTCACACAGCTAGTAAGTGTCAAGTGTTTGGTCTGAGACCGGATTTGAACTCAGATCCTCCTGACTTCAGGGCTGGTGCTCTATCCACTGTGCCACCTAGCTGCCCCCTAGTAATTACTCTCTACGTACCAAAGAGGAGATGCAAGGCCAGTCTCCACATCAGTATTCTCTATACTACACCCTGTTCCCAAAGGGAGGCTCTCCTTAGTTAAGCTTTGACACATCCCACTTGGAGGCTCTTTCTCCCAGACAACCCCCGATATCTGCTGCTGTGCAGTAACCATGCAGTTGTACATGGCCAGCTCTCACACTCCAAAAATGAGGCGCCTGCCCAGGCAAGGCCCAGGCTCCCACAGATCTCACTGGCACTTACTTCTTCATAACAAGGAACAGCGTTCGTCCATGACCCAGGCCTGAGGGGCAGAGCTTTGGAGGCAGGACATCAGGGTAGTCCACCAGGGCCCCAGGCAGGAGGGGCACAGATGAGGTGAAGGCCCGGAGTACCCGGATGATGTTGGGGTGTGGGGCCAGCTGCTTGGAACCTCTCTCGTGTTTTCTGTTTCAAAGTGAGAGCACACATCAGGCCAGGCCTTGAACACGCAAAGAATTCTATTGCTCCAACTTTATAAGGAATGCTAATATGGCAGATACCAGCTATTTACATAAGACCCTTCTTCCAAAGCATGGGTCCAGGTCTAAGATCACATGTACTGGGCTGGAAGACCATTTACTTTTACCTTACAAGCGGCTTACATTACAGTCTTTGAGAAAATGCTGATTACTTACTCATTCATCTGATCAACACTGATTAAGTATCTATGACATGTAAGGGCCAGACAGACCTATCTTAAGTCTGTTAGCAGCCTCAGTTCATATTCCCATTATTACTCATATCTTAGCCCTCTGGCACTACTTACATGACTTACCTGCTCAAAATTCTTCAGTGGTTCCCCACTGCCTACAGAATAAAGGCCAAACTTCTTGGCAGAGCCCCTGAGCTCATTTTACACTTTAAGAGGATGGGAGCTTCAGAGCGCGAAGGGACCTTGGAGACCATCTGGTCCAGTTTTCTCATTTACAGACCAGGAAACTAAGGGCCAAAGATACGAGTGACTTGCTTGGTACAACAGAAAGAGCACTCTCTTTGGAGTGAAAGGAGAAGTCTGAACCCTGCTGACGCTGACACGTAGAGACTCCAACCTCATCCTCTCTAGGCCTCGGTCTCCTCATTTATAAAATGAGGAGGTTGGACCAGATGCCCTGTGAGGTCCTTTCTGGCTCCAGATCTGATTCTATGTCACACGCACCTGGATTCAAACCCGGAATGTAAGCTCCTTAAAGGCAGGGCTGTCTTGACTTTGTATTCTCAGGGCCTAGCCCAGAGTGTACACTTAATCAGTGTCTGTGGGCCTGGCCTGGCTGGGCCTTCAGGCCTGGATGCGGCCACATTCTCTGTTGCCTCCCTTTGTGTCCCACTACTCCCCTTCCGTGTGACATCCCAGTCAATATGTCACTACGTGAACGTTCTGGCCCCTGTATCTTTGATGATGCCGCCTCCTTGCTGACACCCCTGCCGAGACCCCAGGTTGCAACAATGCCCGCTGCACTCCGTTGCTCTTAAGACTTGTAGCTGTCACACACCTGTGCACACCTCATTCCCCTGCTACTCCGGAGGAGTCTCACCATATTTACCTTAGTGTCTCCTCTTGTGCCAATCCCAGGGCTCCTGCAAGGATGGGAGATCGGCGCTGACCAGCTGTAGCTATATGGGCACCCTGTTTGTGGATGCCACTAGAGGGCGCCCCCCACTTGCATTTTGTCAGCAGCTGCCAACCTTCCAGAGAGGAATCCTGGGATAGGCTTCAACAATCTAAAAACTGGGAGTACTGGAATGGCTTGACCCTCAGGCTCTTACCTCTTTACCAGGCAAAGTTAGCCCACTAATTCGAGCAGAAGAGCACTGAAAAGCTGGAAGGAACCTTAGGGCACAGAACCTTTGGCCTCAGGGATCTTCAGGCCAGTGCCCTCCCACATGAAGGTGGTGCGAGGCTCTGGGCTGCCTACAAGCTCCGCATCGGTGGGGTCTCGGCGACTGTCTAGGTCAGCATGCTTAAGGGTCCCCTCTCCTCCAGGGCCACCGCCTGCCTTGGCTCGAGAGCCAGGGGGTGAGGTAGGTGGGTGAGAAGGGCAGGCTACTACCTCTTGAGGCAGTCTTTTCCACCTTGGACAGCTGTCTTCATCACTAGGCCTAAAGTGACCTCTTGGCAACTTCTATTCATGGCCCCTGGTTCTGTCCTCAGGGTCCAGGGGCATGAGTTTGCTGCCTCTGCCAAGTCTGTCCTCTGCTGCCTTCCAGGTGAGTGGTCCTTCCACTATGACCCACTGTTCCCTCATCCCCCACCCTACCCCCAATCTCTGCCAAGGGCTACTGACCCTTACCTGGAAATGGTGGCCCCATACTCCCCAGACAGGGCCAAGCGGCTGGCTGGAACCAGTTCCTGGCTCATGGTGCTGAGGATGGCTTCACTGGAGGAACCTGCCTGTGACAAGTCCCCAACAAACAGAGCATTATACAAACACAAGAGGCATCATATACGGGATGAGACAGGGTGTTAGGAGAGGGAGCTATCATGGCAAGCATTTCCAATGGCCTAAGCCGAGACCAGCCCCCATCTCCTATTTCGAAATCAGACACAGTCTCCTTAGCCCTGAGCACCTTTCAGTGACAGGCCAAGCAAGTCTTCATTCCCTCTCGTGGGGGCAGTGGGTAGGGTATGGGATAAGGGATGTCTAGAGAGTGAGGTTCCCGAGGAAGGGCAGGTCAGGCACTGCTGGAGCTACCCCAAGCCTTGGACTCCTAACAATCCGAGCACCTGTAACACCCAGGGTGAGCAAAGGTGGTGGGGCAAACAAACTCCCCTTACTTGGCTCTGGTAGCTGGGCTTCAATCAGCCTGTTTGGTGGGACACGCACGTCACCTACTGTAGAGCCCTGGTTAGTTGGGATAAGGAAACGCACGCTCTCCTCAGAGTATCACATTAACCACGAGATTCCAGATCAATTTCTCTGGTTTTTCTAAGTGAAATAGCTGTCACTCACAAGTTACTTCTCATTTCCGACTCCAAACCTAATCGACAGAAGTGCTCAGGCTGGCCATTTCTCTAACAAAAGCCAGACTACTTGACTTTTTCTGAGATGGCATATCTTGCCCCTGAAATGCTGGCAGACCGCAGGGAAGGAAGGCAGCCTGACAAAGGGCTGGGTACTCCAGGTTATATACTCTGCGGGTTTGAAGCCCCCAAATCAACTAGCCAACGCCCTGGGATCAACTTGTTTACTATGATTGACCAGTTAAGGAGGGTGAGGAGGACTGGTCGTCGCAAACATCCTTTCTGATGTCCATTTATCGACTGAAGAAGTTTGTTTTGTCCTGCAAGACTGGTACTCTCACAGAAGAGCAGCCTCCTCTAAAGGAGCCAGGGCCGGAGGGGGTGATGTACTTACTGAGATGTTCCACATCATCTTGATGGCCAGGGGAAAGGCTGTGGCCATGTGCTGAGCACTCTGCTTGCTTTCTGCCCGAGGGGCAATGGCTGGATCCTGTCCCAGAAGAAGCCTGTCCCTGGGGCCTTCTGGCTTCTGGGGCCAGGTGGGCATGGTGGCTTCATAAACTGCAGCACTGCACCCCTTGCCAATGGACTGTCCTATGAGGTATTCCTCCAGCCGGAAGCCCTGCCAACGCCTACTTGCCAGGGGGTCAGGAAGAAGTTTATTTTTCTGGGTAAAAATTTCCTGTGAGGTTAGAAAAAAGGCCCTGGTGAAGCAAGGGGCTAGCTGAGGCTTATATGTCCACAGACCTGTGAACAGAGCAGTGCTGAGGTAGAGAGGTCCCTCAAGCAAGGTCAGATTAGGAGCCAGCAGAAACAACTGTCCTTTGCTGCTAGGCCTGAGCTCAGGCCATAAGCTGTTCAGCCTCTTTCTTTTGTTGTTCAAAGCAACTTTGCTACAAACACTCATTTTTTTTTCCCCTGCACAGCAGAAAGAATAATTGATTAGGGGTCAGAATTTCGGGACTCTGCAGCTGGCACAATTACTGACGTGCTGCCATCTGTCTCTTGGCACCAACTCAGAGCTCTCTGTACTAGAGAGATACCTCTTTTTACAAAGACCTTAGACGACAAGTATTAGACAGGTACTGGGCACGGTAGTGAGGATGATGGGCAGTGTGCCACAACTGGCAGTTAGGCTAATGACTTGTTAGTGCCTTGAGGTCACTACTGCCCTTAATCAAGGTCTTCTGAAATCTGAAGACAGAGCAAAGTCCCAACATCCATCTTCTAATGAGGCTGATTCTCCCTCTCAGTTTGAAGCAGAAGGTCTTAATAAGGAGTGAAATCTTTGTGGTGCCTACAGGACAACCAGGAGCTGCTGGAAAAAGGAAAAGCCTGAAGATGGGTCGACCACCCTAAAGCTGGCTTTCCTTTCTTTGTTAATGGAATCCTCCCAATCAGGGTGGCTCCTAATAGCTGGTGCTCCCTTCTCTCCCTTCTCCCCCATATCCAACGAGTCCTCATCCAGAGGATCTCTAAATCCTAAGACCTAAGATTTTTGTATTTTCTTCGGTCCTTGCTTTCCATTCCTTCTCCTACCCCCTTGGTCCAAGCCATTATGACCCTTTTTGGGGACAACTGCAGGAGTTCCTAGCTCTTTGGGTATCATGCCCACCTCTGGCAGTTTGGTGAACCTTTGGGACTCTTCATGTTACGTTCCTTAAAACTCATCATTGAAGGAAAGGCTAAATTTCAATTAGAGGTAAGTGCAATGACTTTGAAACTAATTCAAAGAATCAGAAACCTAGACCTGGAAGAGACCGCGACAGCCTTCTGGTCCAACTCCCTCATTTCACAGATGAGGAAACCAAGGCCCAAGGATGGTAAGCGTCTTGTCCAAGTTCCCTCAGACACGTATCCGGGGCGGGATTGGAACCCAGGTCCTCTGACTCTTTCGCCTGTGCCACACTGCTTCCCCTTGCCTCCAGTCTCTACCCTTTCCCAATTCAGCCTGGAAAGGCTGTCAAATGAATCTGCCAGAAATACGGCACTCCTCTCCTGAAAAGCCTTCCAAGGTCCTCTATGACCAACACAATTAAATACAGAGTACAGCCTTCAGGGCCCTGCAGAATCTGGCCCCAAGTGAAAGCCCGCAGAGGGGGAAAACCACTTCCTTCTGACACATCTGCATCACCTCCGGGTAGCTCTGTTAGGAAATGCTTCCTTAAAGCACTTCTGCCCTCCATGGACACTTGGCTCCAGCTGCTCTGGTCTACATGACATCTGTCAAGCATGCCTTGCACAATCCTGTCTCCTCTTCCTCCTCACATTCACATTGCTTCTTCCCCGGGTGACCTTATCATTTCTCATGGGTTCAGTGACCTTTTCTGTGCTGATGATTCCCAGATCGACATATCAGCTAAGTGGCACAGTGGATAGAGCACTAGGCCTGAAGTCAGGAAGACCTGAGTTCAAATTCGACCTCAGACAACAATAGTCCCCCTCTCCTGAGCTCCAGTCCCACACACCACAAGCTGCCTATCGGACATTTGAGCTACTTGTCCTGTAGGCACCACAAATTCAAACCGTCCAAAAGAGAACTCATCATCTCCCCTACCCTCAACACCCCTCTTCTTAGACAGTGCTATCAAGGGCACCAGCACCCTTCTGGTCACCCAGGTTTGCAGCCTCAGGGTCATCTGCTGCTCTTTCCTCTCACTCGCCTCGCCCTGACGTCAGCTGCCACATCACGTCACTTCACCTCCACATCTTTCACCACCCTTCCTCCCCCTCACATAGCCATCACCCTGGGATAGGCCTTCTCAAGTGTCTTTGGTTTCCCTTGCTTGAGCTTCCACACTCCAATCTATCCTCCACTATGCCAAAGAGATTCTCCTAAATCATTGCCTGCTCTTCTGGACTTCACGATCTCTGTAAATTCATCATCCCACAAGATGACATCAACTCTGAAATTTTCACCTCCTCAATACTACCTGCTCCCCCTCCACGTTTGACTGGAGAGAGAGCTCCTCCCAGATCCTTCTTCACAGTGTTGAGTACATGGTAGACCCTTAATGTTTCTTGACTCCGACACTCCAGTTTCTAGATCTGCACACTTCTCTCTCTCAATAAACTGCAATGGCTCCCAATTACCTGCAGGATCCCATATATATGCATATAAAAGCTCCTTGAGTCTTTTTCCACATTACTTCGCTCTATACACTCTGCAACGTGGTCCTGCTGGCCCACCTGCTGTTCTGCCCTAACAAGCATTCCATCTGCCATCGCCACACCTTTGCGCTGGCTGTTCTTCACCCTGGAATGCCCTCCCTCCTCACCTCTGCCTCTTAGAATCCCTGTCTCACTTTCTACACGAGACTTTTCCTGCTTCCCCCAACTGCTAGTGCCTTCTTTCCCCAAACTACCTTAAAACGTCCATTTTGTATCTATTTGGTTATCTAACCAGCTAAATTTCATTTGAATCCCGCTAGAATGTAAGCTCCTTGAAGGCACGGGCTGTTTCTCTTCTTTGTACTCCTCACCCTTCGCTCAGTTCCTGACACACAGCAGGAGCTTAATAAATGCTTACTGACAGGGATGCTCACCTCCCTACTCTGCTGCACCCACTTCCCTGACTTCAGCGCCCCCCTCACTTCTTACTTCCTCCACGGTTCTGTCCAGACCAACCACATGGTGCTTCACATTTACTCTGTATCTTCTCAGCATGGCACAAGCCAGGGATCTGGGTCTGTATCCCAGCTCTGACATTTACCAGTAAGTCACGTAACTGCTCCGAGCCCCAGTTTCTTCATCTGTAAAATGTGAATAATACCAGCATCACCTACCTCACAGGGCTGTTACGAGGAGAGCGCTTCGTAACATTACAGGACTAAATAAAAAGAACAGCTAATTATTATTTACTGCTTTACGGTTTACAAAGACTTTATATGTTATCTAATTTGGCCCTTACAATAATCTTGTGAGGCAGGTACTATTATTATCCCCACAGAAAGCTGAGACTTGTCCAGGGGCTCACAGCCAAATAGCTGAGGCAAAATTGGAACTCAACTCTTCCTCACTCCAAGTCCACCACTCTTTCCACCGTGCCATTTTTGTCTTATGTATGATATTTGTTACTTTATGTATGTCTCATTTTGCCAACAAACTGCAAGTTCTCTAGGTCAGTGGCCATGACTTTTGGCCATGAAGTCATAAGAGTTGGGTTGGGGGGCAGCTAGGTGGTGCAGTGGATAGAGAACCGGCCTTGGATTCAGGAGGACCTGAGTTCAAATCCAGCCTCAGACGCATAACACTTACTAGCTGTGTGACCCTGGGCAAGTCACTTAACCCCACTGCCTATCCTAAAAAAAAAAAAAGAGTTGGGTTGGAGTGTCATCTACTAGTTAAGTGGCCCTAGACAAGTCATTTGATGTCCAGTCCTTGTTTTCCTCATCTGTGAAATGGGGCTATTTGTCAAAGGGACAATGCTGGGCAAGCATTGAAGCCACAGGTAAACTGGAGATATTATCATGATCTTCGTATCTCTCACAGTATCCAGTACAGTGACTTGTGCCTAGGAAAGCCTCAATAAATATGTGCTGAGAGACTCTAAAAATGAACCGAGGAGAAACCACCCTTTTGGCCTCCATCCCTCCCCACCATCTTTCCAGTCATGCAGGCTGGCAGCCCCAGCGTCCCCCTCGGCTTCTCACTTACTCAACACAAACATGTGGGAGAAGGAATGAAGAAGCAGGAGTATGGAATGGAAAGATCTGGGAGCCGGGAGTGGTTCCGTCTCTTCCACCGACACACTTGGTGGAGAACCTCCCTAAGCTTCCTGTCCTTGGCCTCTGCTCATCAGAAGGGCAGGAAGAGCCAAAGCATAGAACTTGGGGTCACCAAAGGTTGGCTCAAGCTCAGCTGGGAGGTGGCCCTGAGTAGTGGGAGGAGCCCTGGGTCAAGAGTCAGAAGACAGAAGTTCACATAGGTTGGTCCCTAACAAGCTCAGACTTCTCAAACTGGATGTCCAGTAGTCACCTTAAACTCCACACATCCAAAACAGAACTGCTTATCTCTCTCCCCAAACTCCCGCCTCCTTCCACCTTCCCTGTTACTGGAAAGGGCATCACCATCCTTCCAACCTCAATGTCATCCCGCACCCCCCCACATCCAAGTTGTCGTCATGGTCTGTCGATTTCACCTTTACGACATCTCTCCAATACACCCCCTTCTCTCCTCCAACCCCGCCCTGGTGCAGACCCTCATCGCTTCACATCTAGGCTGCTGCAGTAGCCTGCTATGGGGATGGGGGGGTTCCTGTCTGTCTCAAGTCTCTCCTCACTCCAATCCACCCTCCATTGAGCCTCAAAGTAGTTTCCTAAAGTTCAGATCTGAATATGTCACATCTCTACTCAATGAACTCCAGCAGCTCCCTACTGCCTCCAGGAACAAATACAAAAGAGTCTGGCACTCAATGGCCTTCTCAATCGTCCCCCTCCTACCTCACCAGTCTTCTCCCACCTCACACCCCAATACGTACTTGGATCCAGTGATACTGGCCTCTGGGTGTTCCACAAAGGAGACCATCCAGCTCTCAGCTCTGGGCATTCTCTCTGGCTGTCCCCCATGCCTGGACTGTTCTCCCTCATCTCTGCCTCCTGGCTTCCTTCAAGTCCCAGCTAAAATCCCACCATCTACAGGAAGCCTTTCCCAGCCCCTCTTGTTTCTGGTACCTTCCCTCTTCTTAACTATTTCTCATTTATCCTGTAGATGCCTCACTCGAGGGCAGGGACTGCCTTTGGCCTCTTTTTGTATTCTGAGGGCTAAGTGCTAAGGCACCAAACAGGACCTTAAATGTGGACTGATCACTTGATCTTGGACAAACCCATCCCTTTCCTTGGGTCTCAGTTTTCCTATCTGTAAAACAAAAGAGACTTGGAACTAGGAATCACGAGATCTGGCTTCCAGGTCTGGGGCTGCTGAATAACTTGTTTTATGACCCTGGGAAAATCCCTTAAACGTTCTGGGCTTCAGTCTTCTCTGTAAAATAAGGATGTTGGGCCAGATCAGGTGTAGGCATGGGCCACAGGGTCAGAAGTTCCTAAGTGGGAGTGTACAACATGAGTTTAATTACAGATTTAATTACATTTGGTGTCAATTACTGTTTCATTTTAAGCTCACTAACACAACAGTCAGCATCAGCAAATTACACACCAATAAGGAAAGCCAATTAGTTGGACCCTATTGACATCATGTGTGCTAGCTAAATAGCTAAAACAAGTTTTTTTGCTTTAAATCTCAGGCTGGCTGTACCTCGAATGCTAAGGGGTTATAGAGCTTCCAAAGCCTCTCCTATCTCTGACATCCTGTGAGTTAAAGTCACAAAAATCAGGATAGAGACCAAAAAAAAAAGTCTCAGCCCTCAAGGAACTCTGGGATACTCTGTGTGCCAATGTCTTCATCTCTCCACCCCCAACACAACAGGCTTGGAGTCAGAGGGCCTGCTTCAAACCTAGGCTCTGCCACTTCCTGCTTAAACTGCAACTGAGCATGTCACTTACTTAACTCGGCCCTAGCTTCGCCATCTTTTATAAATGAGAGGGTTGTACTAGATGGCCTATGAGGTCCTTTCTGGCTCTACAGATGGCATCTGTGATACCTTAAAACCTGGACACTGTCAAGCCATAAAGTGAAGCAACAACAAGTTTTAATCCAAGTCACCTGAATTCAAATCCAGAACTCTTTGTGCCACATCATATTGCTTTAAAGGATCTGGAAACGGAAGACCTTCTCATCCAACGCCCTCCATTTAAAGATGAGATTGAGGGGAACCAGCATTTATGCCAGGCACACTGCTAAGCTTGCTGTTCACTCTTTTCAGTCCTGTCTGACTCTCCGTCACCCCATCTGGGGTTTTCTTGGCAGAGATACTGGTTTGCCATTTCCTTCTCCAGCTCATTTGACAGATGAGGAACCTGAGGCAAACCAGGTTAGATGACTTGCCCAGGGTCACACAGCTAATAAGTGTCTGAGACTAGATTTGAACTCTGGAAGACGAATCTTCCTGACTCCAGGCCCTATCTACTGCACCACCTAGCTGCTAGGTGGTAATGTATTATTATCTTCATTTTACATTTGAGGAAATTGAGGAAGACAAATTAAGTGACTTGCCTAGGGTCACACAGTTTGTAAAGTATCTGAGGTTGGATTTGAACTCAAATCTTCCTGATTCAAGTCTCAATGCTTTTTCCACTGTACTACTTGCACAAGGTCAAATAGGTAATAAATGGCATACTGGAATTCAAAGGAAGTCCAAAGACTCCAAATTCAATACTCTTTCCATTGTAACACATAATCTCTCAGCTATGATGTTCTTTGTTCTAAGATCTCTTCTAGTTCTAACGTTCTATGTTCTAAGGTTCCTCCTAGTCCTATGTGTCCTAGGACTGTCCCAGCACTGACATTTCTATGTCCTAAGGTCCTTTCCAATTATGACTATGTTCTAGGTTTCAAGGTCCCTCAAGTACTAACACTCTGTGTTCTAAGGCCCCTCCTAGTTTTAACATTTTGTGTTCTAAGGGTCCTCCCAGCTCTGACATTCTGGCTTCTAAGGCTCCCTCCCAGCTCTGACATCCCCTGTTCTAAGGGCCCTCCCAACTTGACACTTGCTATGTCTTAAGGTGATTTTAGACATGACATTCTGTGTTCCAAGGTTCCTTATAACTGTGACATTCCACGGGCTAGGATTCCTTTCAGGGGTGACACGCCACATCCTAAGGTCTTTGGGTCTAGGTCTTTGGGTCTAAAGCCGTTCCCAGCTCAGCTCCCACGCTGACATCACACAGGAGAACACTAAGACGTCTCTCCTGGGCCGGGCCAGACAGCGCCTGCTCTTAGCGCACCTTTACCTCGGACAGCGAAGGCTCTAGGCTCTCTCATGGTTACCAGGTCTCTCCCCACTCCCGCCCCCCCCAGCTGACCCTCCCGCCTGGGGCTCCGGTTTGACCTTGCCCCGCCTTCGGGCACGCGGTCTCCGCGGGGGGCGGTCCGAGGGGAGGACACAAGTCCCGGGGCCCGGCGGGGCGAGCTGCCCGGGGCCCGGCCCTCACCTGGATGTCCCGGCAGGCCGAGGCCGCCCGCTGACCCTCTGCCTGCTTCTCCTCCAGGAGCCCAAGCCCCAGGCCAAAGGCCAAGAAGACTGCGCGGCCGCAGGGGGGCCCGGCGCCCCGGGCCCGCAGCACCAGCTGACGCTGCAGGCGGGCCGCCAGCCCGGCCACCGACTCCCGGAAAAAGCGGTAACGGCTGGCTGGGAAGGCCCAGCCCCAGCCCCGGCCCCGGCCCCGGAGCCGGCTCCGCCGCCCCTCGGGCCCTGAGGCCCCAGCCCGGCCCGGGCCGCTCCGCCCGCCCTAGGCCTCCCGGCGGGCCCGGCTTGGCCGAGAAGCGCAGCAGCAGCGCCCGGCCGAGCTGCAAGCCCCGGCCCAGCGCCTGTCGCAGAGCCATGGCCTTGACCGCGGCCCGCACGACACCGAGGAGCACTGACCCACGGGCCCGCAGGCCTGAGCTGGTTTGCGCACGCGTCAGCTGCTGCGCAGGCGCACAGGCGGGGTGGGGGGGCGCGTTCTGCCCACGAGGCTATTGTTTACAGAATCTGCTCCACGAGGGGGTGGGGCGCAGTGCGGGTTCGTGCGCATGCGCGGCACCTGGCCCCTGAGACCTGTCAGCCTCCCAGGTTCTTCTGGCTCAGTCTCCAGCATGGGGAGGAGCTCAGCAGCACGCTCCCCATGCCTTGAATACATCCAGTGGTGGCGAGCTCATTTCTTATCTAGTCAGCTTAGACCACTTTGGGGACAGTTATGTTAGAAAGTTTTTCTTTGTTGTCCTTCAGTCATTTCAGGTCCTTTTCCAACTCTTCATGACCCTACTTGAGGTTTTCTCAGCAGAGATACTGGAGTGGTTTGTCATTTCCTTCTCCAGCTCATTTTACAGATAAGGAAACTGAGGCAAACAGGGTGAAGTGACTTGCCCAGGGTCACACAGCTAGTAAGTGTCTGAGGCCCGATTTGAAGTCAGGTCTTTCTGACTCCAGGCCCAGCTCTATCCACTGCCCCGTCTACCCTGCTCCTAAATTTTTCTTGACATCCAGCCTAAATCTACCTCTGCACGTCCCACCCTTTGCTCCCAGTTCTTCCCTGTGGGGCAGAGCAGATGAAGCTGAAGACCTGTCCGGGTTTCCCCCTAAATCCGACCTGTTTTGTGCTAACAGCCATCCAGTCTGATGAAGTAGAAAGGAATGTGAGGCATGGAGCAAGCAGGAGGAGAGATAGGAGATGAGATGCAGGATTCGACTAGCCTGAGAAGTGATCAAAGAAGACTATGCATTGAAGCTCTCACCATGGACTTCCTGTGTGATTTCACAAAGCACCCTGAATTCCAGAACAACTCTTCCCCTCCCCTTTCCTGTTGTCTTTGCTTACCACTTTTGGACTACCTGATGTCCCAGGCATTTTGGAGCTACGCTTGCTCCTCCCATTCTCTTGTCCCGCTATTCCATCAAATTGTATTTAAACCATACCTTTGACCTAGCTAACCGCCTTTGCCTCTTATGGGAAGCAAGGGCCATTCTACTCCCTTAGGGGAGCAGGGCCTGAGGCCTACTCGCTGCCGCCCAGGTGGAATAGAGCCCCTTGGGGCTGTGCCTCACCCCAATAAATGCCTTTCTTTAACTTGGAGACTCTCCGAGTGAATTCTTTCAGGACGCTAGGACCCGCATGTCTATTTCTCATCATTTCAGGTAGCACCCCGACATTCTTGGGGTCCACCCTGAACTCATCACCAGTGTCTACGGAGAAGGTCTAAGTAACTTCTTTCACACTTGAACCAGCTCTGCCAACTGTAAACCTCAACACAGTCTTGGAATTTTCTTCAGCCTTTTCCTGACCCCAGTGTGAGAGATGATCTCTCAGAAGTGAAGCCTCCTCAGGGGATCAATGGTTCTTGTTAATATTTCTTGATTGTTGCTTTCAAAACCCTCCCCCCCACCACCCTGTTTTTAAATGCTTAGCAGAAAGAATAGCCCTGCCCCCAACCTGAACTGCTTGCCCTTGAAAAGCTTCCTGCCTTTTCTTGTCTCTGGGATAAGGAGAAGGAGGTTAGGGAGGGGAAGGTTTCCTAGAAATTACCTAGACCTATAGGAATCTGGCCCTAAACCCCCTCCTGATTACCACACCACTGTCACATCAGAATTAGGTTTACTAAATAAGGACATGTATGTTTGGATTGGCTATACCCCTTTTCATTGTTCTTTGTCTTTGAATTTTCGAGCCTAGAATATAAGCCTGCCTCCCAGCTAAGGGGAATAAGGGATAGTGGTGGGTGGAGGTTTGTTTGTGTTAGGGTATATAATCTCATTTTTGCTTTCTGTGCCTGCCTCTCTCCTCCTGGAAGTGTACGGGGGAGCGGACGCCCCTTCTGGTGGGGTTGTAATAAAAAGTAACTTTTCTTCCACCTTGAGAAGTCTCTGAGTTTAATTGATTTAGAGTTGCTGTCCCACACACCGGGACATTCAACTAGTTAGTCAGTCTAACTAGTCAGTCTGATCCTCTGCATTTTAATGTCCATTCTGGCTCTGACATTCTGTATTCTAAAGTCTCTCCCAGCTCTGACGTTGACTCTGACCACATCAGCGCCCTGCTTAACAATCTCTCCATCAGGATAAAATACGAATGCCTCAGCCTGACGTTTACAAGTCTCCATGAGCTGTCTCTAGTCAACCTTTCTAAACTTATTTCACATTGCTCCTCCTAATGCATTCTGCTTTCCAGCCACTTTGACCTGCTTACTCTTCCTTGCCCACAGCTCCTGCCTTTACACAAGCCATCCCCCAGGCCTGGAATGCTCTTCCTTCTCCATCTTTGAAGCTTTAAAAATTCTGAATTCCCTTTAAGGTTGAGTGTAGATGCCATTTCTTCAACAGAGGTCTTTCCTGATCCCATGTCCTCATCCCCTGAAATTGCTTTATATTTACCTATCTTTATACATGCAGTGTTCTCCAATAATATGTAAGCAGGTAGGTAGGTGGTGCAGTGGATAGAGTGCTGTGCCTGGAGTCAAGAAGATCTTGGTTCAAATCTGTCCTCAGACACTCACTAGCTATGTGACCCTGGGCAAGTCATTTAACCCCAATTTGCCTCAGTTCCTCATCTGTAAAATGGGACACACTGGAGAAGGAAATGGCTAGCCATTCTACTATCTTTACCCAGAAAACCCCACGGATAAGTTCATGAGGTCACAAAGAGTGGTACAGGACAGAACAACAAAGCTTGAAGGAAGGTATATCCTCATCCCCAGCACAGTACCTTGCCACATGGAAAGTCTGCTGGTTTTGGAAGGAGAGGATCTGGATTCTAAGCCTGCTTCTGATACTCATTGCCTATGTGACCTTGGGAAAATCATTTAATCTTCTTGTGCCTCAGTTTCTTCACCTGCTAAATGAAGAGACTGGACTTTAGATGGTTTCTGTTGTCCCTTCCAGTTCTGACAGTGTAGAATCCCATTCTTCCCACTCAGTCTTTTAGGTAGCCGGATGATGGGTAGGCTGAGTGCTGTCTGCCCACAGTCTGATTACCTGAACAAACACACCGATTGCCACCTCTCACTGTTACTGGCTCATTTCTTTATTAAATCTTTTTCCGGGTTCAAATGTAGTTTAGGTATGACTATTAAAGAGATTGCTAGATTGTAGTAATTCTCTCTTTTAATTAGCTGAGGTAAGCCTCAACTTAAACTGAGGAAAATCTTTGTACCCTTTTAATTATCTTCTCCTCTCAGTCCCAAACTATGCACTTATAGCCTTGGTATTGTAAAATTGAAAATTGATTTTAATTCTCTTTTTAAGACTTAATGGAGCTGGCTAGGACTTAATACTACCTCATATTGTGTAAATCCAAATGTAACCTTTGTAACTTCACCCTTCGCCCTTGCCAAAAGGCCAAGCTTTTTATAATGACCTCCACTCCAGATTCAATTCTATTATGAATTGAATCTATACCTTTATATTGTCTATCTTTGAAACCCACACCCATCACCCACTTAACTCCATTTCAAGTTGATTCAATCAAAGCTTTATAGACTACTCCCATTGCCTGGCTACCTTTGTGTGGTTAAGAGACTTTGAGAAAGGGGCGGTCCAAATGATGTAATCTTAATTTTCACTATGTCATGGACAGCCAATCAGAAGACACAACGATGTTGCTCAAGATTTTGCTCTGTCATCTTACTAATTATTATAAAAAAACCTTGCCAGCCCTCACTTGGGGTCTTTGGTCTTTGAGAGAGGCCATTGACCCTGTTTATTGGTTACTGCTAGCCTAAGTAATAAATTGATCATGCTCAGAAAGAACTTTGTCTCTTGGTTTACCTTAATTTCTAACATAACAGCTTAAATCGCAGTTAATAGCTTAAACATCTATTTCAAAGAGCGCAGGAATATAAAAACGCATCCAGAGGAGCGGCCTTCTGTTTGGAGGCCATGACGATTTGATGGTTGCAGCAGGGGAGGGGGAGGTAGGAATGGGGTTTACTCTCTTCTCCCACTGGTTTTATCAGGGAAAAGAAGTGACGTGATCAGATAAATAAAGTGGCTCTGGGGGTGACCCTCAGTGGGAGGAGAGAAAACCTTTAATGGGCTGTGAGCTGGATTTGAGATACTGGTCAGCTGCCATAGCTCCTGGTTCCTGTTCAGCTTCCTCCTCCAGTCCATTCTCGTGTCTCTTCCTGCCTTCATGGACGCCGCACCACGTCACAAGATGATTTTGGCTCTGCTTACTTTCCCCACTTTTTCTGTCAGAGAGTCAGAGCCCAGTCCTGAAGGTCCCCACTGTCTTGGAAGGAGAAGCATGGGGAAACCAATATGAATCATAGTCCAGGTCAAATCAAAGATCAGAGCCCCAGAAATTTAGAGAACTTGGGTAATATTTGAGTACTAGCATTCATGTTCCCCCAACACTCTTTCCATTATTCCACGGAGCATATAATGAATTAAATAAGAAGGCTACCCAGGAGTCAGGATACTGTTGTTCAGTCAATTAGTTGTATCCAACTCCTCATGAACGCATTTGGCGTTTTCTTGGCAAAGATGCTGGAGTGATTTGCCATTTCCTTCTCCAGGAAATGGAGATGAGGAAACTGAGGCAAACAGGGTGCAGTGACTTGCATTTGAACTCTCCGGGGTTGGCACTCTGTCCACTGCTGCCACTTAGCTGCCTAGGAATCAGGATACTTGGATTCAAGTCTGTTTGGCCACTGACTTCACCATGTGACTCTGGCTGAGCCTCTTGACTTACCTCACTTAATGAAATCATTAATTTCGTTATTAGTCTAAGCATCATTATTAATGAAAACATAAAGGGGGTGGGCAGAGTGGCGAGAACCTAGGATTTGGATTTGGGAGATGTGGGTTCAAATCTTGTCTCCATTACTTACTAGCTATGTGATCTTGGGCAGATCACTTCCATTTTCTTGGCCTTTTGTAGTCAGTCAGCCAAAAAGTATTTAAATCCCTTCTACGTGTCAGGCACTGTGCTAAACATTAAGGCTATAGGAGATGTACTATATAAGTATGGACTAGATTGAATAAATCAGTTAAATCATCCCATCCCATGTAAAGTAAATGCTATTTTAATGAGGTGAAATGATGTCCCAGTCAATTAGTCAAAGACTTTCAATTAAATGTTTTAGAAAAAAATCCTTAGATGATCTGGAGTGACATTGACAGTAGTAGTTTTCAGATTGTCTGAGGAAATTCGGTCACACTTTGTGTGTCATTTATGAAACAGAAAATGAATCCAGTGCCCAAAGTATTCAAGCATTTGGTGGAGAAATTGGAGGCAACATTAGCATTGGAAGTCAAGGCAGATTCATGTTTCCACAAGGAATTCGACAGAGAAGCTACATATATTTGAGGGGAACTTCTGGAGCACCCCACAATGAGGGGTGAAGGACTTTCTTTGACACATGTTCTCTAAGCTTGATTTCATTTTCCTAGGAATCTGCATATTCTTGTGGGAGAGAGTGCCATAGATTTTTGAGGGGCCATATTTTATACCAACTGTTCTTACTAGATCACCTTAGGAAATACCCCTTTCTAAAAGCTAAGTCTGGCTGACTTATTGATAATCAACTGACAATGATGGTGGGAAGCACACCTATGGGGGACTCATGAGCTATTATTGCTTTAGAAAGACACTTTCAACTCCTCAGGACTACCCCTAGAAACCTGAGGGGGGATATAGCAGCCTAGCTGTGGAGACCTGACTTGCCAATGTGAGTATGAATTAGGATAAAGACCCTGAGAGTTTACATCTACTACAACTAGGTGATCCAAAGGTTCAGTTTTTATATCTATGAGAAGTCTAAGAGATCATAAATTCCACCAGGACAGGGATTGTGCCTTGTGTTTCCCACAGCACATTGCATATTGTTGGTGATTAACAACAGAAAAGAAAGAAAAAAAAAAAAAGAAAAAAATTTCTCTGGGCCTCAATTTCCTCCTCTGTGAAAAGAGGGAGTTAGATTAAAGTTTCTTTCAACTCTAAATTTATGATGCTATGATGCCTGATCCTAGGGGTAAGAATTACTGACAATCCTGTGAAAAATATGACAATTAAAAAAGCTAATGGAATCTTGGATTACATTAAGAGAGGCATTGGATCTAAGACACCTCTGTGTGTGT